GGGCCGAGGGCAGCTTGCCCTGGGCAGAGGGCCGTGATGGCTCGCCCCGAGCCGGGGGCCGAGGGCAGCCCACCCTGGGCAGAGGGCCGCGACGGCTCACCCTGAGCTTTACTCATTTCTAAGTCAAAGAACTTGAAAATTATTTTTATTAGATTCTAGTTTGTTAAGTGCCATCAAGTCGTAGGTGACCCATAGTGACCCTTATGAGGAAAGTTCTGGACACCTGTATAACTTTTGTCCTTTCTCCAGGTTCGTAGGGTTTCCAGAGGCAAGTTATTGTGGAAGTGGATGCCACTTCTGCTTCCAAGCTTGTTTTAATTAGGGAGCTCCACCAAACTCGGTCCACCATGGGAACCATTCTTGCATTTGACTCATCAGTGTCATAGTGTTTGGCTTCACAGCAACCATGAGTCACCTCTCTACAGCATGTGGACATACCACATACACAGCCTAGAAGAATGTTTCACAAAAAACAATTAAAGGGAGGCCGGAGGACTGCGGATTAGAGTCACCCACCTTTGGCTTGGGAGCATGGCTTTCTGTCCGCTAGGCCAACTGCTCTCTCTCTCTATGCTGTTGTTAGTGGTGTTTTTGTTAAGTGCCATTGAGTCGTAGGTGACACATAGCAAACCTATGAACGGAAGTCCTGGACACAAAGAATATAGCCTTCAATATGGTTAAATCACAAGATTAAGAAACCAGAAATCTTCACCATGGGGCCAGTAGGCAACATCTTGACAGATCAAGAAGAGAGAACTTGTCGATACTTCACCTTGCTTGAATCCACAATCAACAGCTTTGGCTCCAGCAGCCAGGAAATTAAAAGACATAATGCGTTGAGAAAGTGTGCTTTCAGGGACTACTTAAGAGTGCTGAAGAGCAAAAATATTATTATGAAGTCTAATGCACCTGAAGACTGCAGCCTTCAATATGGATTGAGGCTCAATGTCAAGAAGAAAAAGATTCTCACCACTGGACTAATTGGCAGCATCAGGATGGATGGTGAAGAGATTGAGATTGTTCACAGATTTAGTTGGGTTGGCTCCATAGTCAACACTCTTGGCACCAGCAGCCAGGAAATTAAAAGACATATTACAATGGGAAAGTCTGTTGTTAGGGACTTCTCCAAAGTTCTGAAGAGCAGTGGTGTCACTCTGGAGACTAAGGTGCACCCGATACAGGCAATGGTCTTTGCAATCACTTGTTATGTGTCAGAGAGTTGGACAGTGACTAGGGAGGAGAATTGATGCCTTTGAGCTGTACCATGGACTGCTAGGAAAATAAGCAGATTCATCCTGGAGAAGGTTAAACCTGGCTGCTCCTTGGAGGATTCTGAGGCTTTGTCTGACATACTTTGGACATGTTGTAAGGAGGGGACCAGTCCTTGGAGAGGGACATCATGCTTGGGAGGGTAGAGGGACAGTGCAGGAGGGGAAGACCCTCTATGAGGTGGATTGATTCAGTGACTGAGGTAATCGGGGTGGGTGTTTCGGAGACGGTGTGATTGGCGCAGGACAGAGCAGGGTTTAGGGCTGTTGTACATAGGGTCACTGTGAGTCGCAAGCTATTTGACAGCACATAACAACAATGCATCTGATCCCAGCCACGATCATTAGTTACTTTCTATGTGTGTGAAAGTTGGAAAGCAATTAAGAATGACAAAGAAGCGATGACTTTGAGCTGTGGTGTTGGAGAAGAGTGATGAATATCCCGTGGACTGCCAAAAAGACAAACACATATTTATGTCTTGCAAATGTTGCATAGTGAAACTTCATCTCACATACTTTGAGCATGTTGTTAGGAGAAGCTGATCCTTGGAGAAGGACATCAGACTTGGAAAAGTGGAGGATCTGTGAAAGAGGAAAACTCAATCATTTGGATTTATACTGTTACTTTGGGCTTGAGTATATCAGAGAAGAATGAGGATGGCACAGGATAGGGCAGAGTTCAGACCCATTGTTCATAGGGTTGCTATGGGTTGTAATTTTGTTGACTGCACTTAACTACAGTTGGATTGTATTTCACTTTTATAATTATAAAAAGATCATTGTTAGATGTACCAGCAGTCAGGAGATAGAAACTATATTGTACTAGGGAAGTCTATAGTCTGAGACCTCTTCAAAATTCTTAGGAGCAATGATGTTCGTTTGATGACCGAGGTGTGCCTTATTCAGAGCATGGTCTTTTTAATAACTTCTTATGCTGCTTAGAGCTGGTCATTGAATAAGGAGGACAGTAGAAAACTTGATGCCTTGGAACTGTGGGGAAGAGTTCTGTGAAATATCCCATGGATTTCCAAAAGAAACAGATATGTCTAGGAGAAGATGCAGCCAGAGTGCGCCTTGGAAACAAGCATGGTAAAATTTCTTCTCACATACATTGGGCAAGTTGCTAGGAGAGGCAATTCCTTGAAGAAATACATCATGCTTGCAAAGATGGGGAGAAGAGAGAAAGACCCTCAACCGGCTGGTTTGGCAGAAAAATGGCAGCAATGGACTTGTGTGTTTGACACAGGGTGGGGCAGGGTTCAAATCTGTTGTTCATGGGCTCATTATGAGTTGTGCTCGACTTGATGGCACCAAGCAGCTACCAAATCTGTAAAGAGGGAAATATATATTTAAGGAAAAGAGTTTCTTCCTAATGGAAAAGCTTGGCTTGCCATTAACATATGACCCAGCAATTCCACTACTTGGAATATACCCTGAGAAAATGAGAACTGAGGCACAAACTGAGATTTGTACACCAACATTCATAGCAGCATTATTCACCATAGCAAGAACATGGAAACAGCCCAGATGTCTAACCACAAATGAATGGATTGAGAAACTGTGGTACAGTCACACAGTGGAATACTATGCAGCATACAGAAGCAATGATTTTGTAAATTATTACATAACTTGGGAAGGACTGGTGAGCATTATGCTGAGTGAACTAACTCAGTCCCACAAGGATAAATAGTGTAAAGAACCAATATTGTAAAATCAATATAAGGATCCAAGAGGGGTGGGAGAGGCTGGAAACAGAGGGATGTGGATGTGCAGAGGGAGAGGGGATTAATTATTGGGATGTACAATTTGATGGGTTGAGGGATGAGGGAAATTGAAAGAATTTGT